ACAGTTAATGAATAAATAAAATTACATAATTTGTTATTGTTTTCAACATTTGTGTTACATTACATCCTGGTACGTTGAACTTTTCTAGTTGCGAAATATTAACTCGTTCCGTTCGCGGGGTATTTTAATGAAGTATTATCTCCGGATGATACAATAGTGTGACATTTTTATTATTCGACTCGTGCGCAATCCGACATACAGTTCTTTAGAGAAAGATGTCATTTTATCGTACATGTGACAATGGTTTACAGAGAATTTATATTATTAGTTGCAATAATACAATTAACTTACTCGTTGAGAATTAATTTCACCAGTTGCCAACAGACTGAGTGGAACTGTCCTAGTAATATACCAAGTGATGTTGTTTATAATTGTGCCGCTGTTAGAGCTAATGTAAGTACATTTATAAAAGTCAATGACAATTTATTTAACGTAAAACTATATTGAAATTTCTTGTTTTAGGAATTCGTTATACATTTAAGAGATTTTTACACTGATCATATAAGCTTGATTGTACAGAATTGCAAAGACTTAAAAGTGATAATCGATTGTCCTGTTTTGCAAAGACCATCGAGACTTCAGTCAATTAAAATCAAAAATTGTGATCGTCTTGAATTTGCGACGCTTACACCAAATTCTGCAATTCAAACTCCGTCTGATATAACATTGGAGAATGTTAAAAATATTGTAAATCTACCGAGGAAATTTTTTAAATCGCCAACCAATGCTTTTGAAACAAAATGCTTAGGAGCTGTTTTAAAGAAAATCCGCGTTGCGAATAGTAAAATATTTTCCATAAATACTAAAGCCGTTTATAATGTTAGTGGAGCGAGGAGTATTGAATTTGATAATGTGACAATTACAAATATACAAACGCAAGCGATAGAAATTATCGGCGGTGATAATATAGCTTTTATAATGAACAATTGTACCATTGGTAATTTAGAATCGAAAAGCATAACCGTTCAAAGTAGAAGTACAATCATATCTAATAATGTTTTCAACGATATTGTTGCAAATAGTATTAACATAACGTCAGAAATATTAAACGTTAATAAAAATAATTTCAAGGAAATACGAGCTAATGGACTGATGCTTACTTCAGCTAAAACAGATTTCAATGATAACTATATTAAAGTACTTAAAAGCAACGCTTTGACAAATGTTAAATGCTTGAGAAGACGGATGAATAAGAAACATTTTAAATTCATTAAAAATAGAATTGAAAATGTCGAACCTTACGCCTTAAATTTCGACTATCAGAGTTGCAAATCTAGTGGTTCCACGGTAATATATCAAGAAAATAAATTAGATTGCAGATGTCGAAATGTTGCATATCTAGCATCTACAGCGAGAAACGATTTACACGGTGTTATATTAAATGTATCGAATTCCAATACTTGTATATCAGCACCTTGTTCATTGCCTATTGAAGTTGTAAAATTGTTATTGGAAAGTGCAATGTGTCAGATAAACCTCGACGCTCAAGTCATGTGTTTATTATATAACGATAGGCATACAACTAATTATGATATAACAACCGACGAAGATGTAACAGAACCAGCTCCAACGTTTTATTTAATAAGACAAGCGAATGCTCCAAAAGGAGACGCGAGCGCAGCAATGACGGCTATAGATAAAGATAATCTCTTAAAAGATAGTCATCTTAATATGACGAATAGAACAACGATCAAAGTTGTATTTGATTCATCAAGAGATTTCGTCGAAACATTAAGGAGTACAAAAACGAGCTATAATAAACCAGAAGTACAGAAACCTCAAGCAAAAGATGAATATGCAAGTGTTTGCACAGGACCTCATTGTAGAAACACAGTCGCCTATAATAAACAGAAAGCTTTAGAGTTTTATAAATACGTATACGCACAGTTGCGACCAAAACAATTAGATAATAAGAAAAAGAAAACATGATTTTTGTATTGTTTACAAATAAAATTGTTGCTTTGTTGATATATTTGTTTGACCTTCAAATCACTTTCATTGATGAATCAAGGTAAGCTTTGAAATAATACTTAGTGGGCTTTAATGTAGGCAGGTATAGTAAAGAAAATGTCTGACTTTTAAAGTCATCATCATCATCTTACTCCCGTAGAGTACAATGGGTTTTTGTCCTCCACATAACTCTATCATCCGTCGTCTCAGTCATCACTCCCTTTTGGATCATGTCACCTTTCACTCAATCCATCCATCTCTTTCTAGGTGTACCTCTACCGGTGTACCCTTCCACACTCATAACTAACGTTCTCCTTGTAACATGCGATTCATCCCTCATAACATACCCATACCATATCTGACTTCTAAAGTAACATTTAAAATGACAAAATAATCTTATGAATTCTATAACAATTACTATAATTATATATTTAAATTCGTATTTGTTTATACTTAGAGCGTTATTTTACTATATCTCATTATCTACGCGTGTAAAAACCATAAGATACCTACAATAGTGTGCGTGTGTATAGAAACATACATGTACATCTGAATAACATACACCTATGACCCCGCTCTTAAGATTATCGCACTTGTTTGTCATCCTCGTCATTCGCTTGTTACTATTAAATTTAATTTTCCAATATGCTCTTAATACTTTCCAGTATGCTCGATTTTGAGACCAAAAAGTTTATTAGGGTATTACTTTATGAACATTTTACTATAGGATATAGGATCGACGCTAACTCAGGGGTTTAAGCAATTGTAATTTACAGATCTTGGGTTCTATCCCGTCATATACCAATTTGATTTTCGAATTTCATAGGTACATAATTTACCGTTCATTGTTACGGTAAAAGAAAACATCGTGATGCAACTTACATATATCGGCGAAGAAATTCAAAGTAATGTGTGATATCGACAAACCCGCAGTGGGACAGTGTGGTTGACTATGGCCTAGTCCCTAACTAAGGGTAGGCTCCGAGGATTTTAGTGCGGTTATAGTAAGCTGGTGGTGGACACTTTTGAATGAATGGCTATAACTTCACGTCGTTCATTCGTTACAGTTCTAGCCGCTATTCTCGGAGCTGCCCCGTTCCTGGGGCCGTATTTAGCAGGAATCCCCGCCGCACTAGACGTGTGGCTGCAAGGCAGACCGATGGCTGCATTGCTCCTGCCTATCGCACAGGCTGCGCCTATCGCTTTCCTGGACGCCGCTGTTTACGCCGAGATTAAAGAGTAAGTAACTAAGAAGAAGAGACCTCACAACCATATAGAATACCATCTAGTAAGAGAGTAATAGAAAGCGATAGATGTCTAAAATCCATAGTTCTGTATTATTATTCTAGCACCGAATGATATAGCTGTCACCTATGACTCCGTTCGCGCGGAAAAAAAAACTAAATCAGTAGCCTATTTTTCTTCCAAAGTATATTCTGCATTTATGCTTAATTTCAGAAACATACGTTGACCCGATCTGGAAATATTTAGTAACAAACATCCATCCATTTAAATTTTCGCATCTTACTTCTTACTAATATTATAGATGCGAAAGTTTAGATGGATGGATGTTTGTTAGAAGGTATCTCTGAAACGCCTTAACGGATCTAGATGAAATTAACCGTAAACGTAGAACGTAGTCTCCAAGAAAACGTAGGTTACTAATTAGGGGTATTACCGTGCGGACGGATTCACAGGAAACAGCTAGTTTGTTATTTAAGTAAGATTAACATGAATGTTGCAGCGGTGGTCACCCATACGTCACCGGTCTAGCTATAGCCGGTGGTATATTCTACCTCGGTCCTGAAGGAGCCATCCTCGGCCCTCTACTTCTGTGCTGCCTTATGGTCATCCTCAACCTATCTTCTACATTCTTACGAGATACACCTTCAGAAGAAACCGCCGCATTGCATTCAAGAGTCAGGTAAATTCATCATTAAGTGGCATTGAATCATTATCATTATATTGTAAATCATTATTATCATATTATAAATCATTATCATCATATTATAAATCATTATCAGACAAATTTGTATGGTCAATGATAGCTTTGACTTGTTGTTGCTTTAGCTTTTGTATTAAGAATAATACATAAGGTTCATTATTTACTTATTTCTATGTATAATGTAACTATTACTATTAGTACTATATTTTCCCAAAATTTTATGAATACACGATATTATTTTTATTAAATTTAGGTTTTCCTTCTCGACAATTATAATATCATGTTTTTGTTAATGAGATAACTTTATTTAAACACAAAATTATGTAACGTATTTTTTTTATACTTTCCTTGTTTTGTTTTTTGTGGTGTTTTTTTCATGTTATTAAACTAACGTTTGCTTTGTATATTATTAAAGCAGCTAATTTTTTTATTGCATGTAGATTCATTTATTACATGTCAGATAAAAAAAGCTGAGTTTTAATCTTACTAATAATATAAATGTGAAAGTTTAGATGGATGGATGTTTGTTAGAGTTTGTAGCCTAAACGGCTGAACGTATTTCGATGAAATTTGGCATAGATGTAGAAGATAGTCTGGAAGAACACATAGGCTATTCACTTTTGTTTTTTCCAATTCCACGCGGACGGAGTCGAGGGCGAAAGCTAGTAATAGAATACATTAAAACAACAATTATTAAGGGATGTGTAAATTAATCTTTTAGTATATGTTGCTTTAGCAACTTTTATATCGTAAATAATTGTTATCATATAATGACGCATTTTATTGATTTTTTTATTTAGGTCATTATTGGGATGCTCTTAAGGTGTGTATTTTATACTAACCGAACTAATTGTCCCTTTTGTTTATTACGGCTTTAAACCACAATAAAAAATATTTATACGAAATATATATATTTAAAAGGTAAGATATTGCTTGTACACAATTTTATTTGCATATTTTTATCACATGCCCTTCGTAAGCTTGATATTGCTTTTTAAATGTGGTATAGGTTTTAACACATTGTCGTTGTAAATCAATTTAAAGAATGTAACATTAAATAAGCTTACGATATTTTATACAATCAAATATATTTATGTACACTGCAGGCTAAAATCGTTCCATCTTAGAGTAAGTTTCATTAAAATATTTAATAACAACAAAAAAAACTTTTTCTTATGAACGCTGTGTACGCCTGTCATGTATTTTCTTCTGCTTTTTTGCTTTTCTTTGTCTACAGTATATTTATTTTTATTGTGAAAATAAACAATATAGCGTTAGATATATCGATACAAATGACTTCCTTTAAAATATGGTCGGACGGATATTAACAATGCTTGTAAATTACTTTAAAACACACAAATTGAACTCTAATGCGACAACGCATATATCGAACGTTCCGTTGTGACGACTAAAACACTGAGCACCGAGACTGCAACTGAGCCCGTGCCAATCCTTGCCATATATTTTATAAAACTACCCCCCACTATTACTTCCGTTTCCTAATATTTTCCTAACAATCTTGTTGTTTTTAAATAAAGATAAATGTATTGATAAATAGCACAGATTAACAAATAACTTTTAAGAATACAGAATACATCAAAAATAGTTAAAAAGCCAACCATAGCATCTTTACAAAATAAATCTGATATGATAATATTTGCTACAAACACATAATTTAAAATATATTACATATATGTTATTAATAAAATAAAAACTGATAATGAAAAAAAACATGATGATTTATTTAAACACACAGAGTCGTATATGTATATATCAAAAGCTATGTATTAAATTAGTGCTTTGGATATGTGCATATTTGTTAAGCATGCGTTATCATTATATTTAGGGCCTCTCCCACCACTGGCTGATAGAGGCTCAAATAGCTTTAAAATGGCGTCACTGTCAGATAAGGAAACAAAATCTTATATATCCATAACATTTATTACACGTTGGATTGTTATTAATTTTCAATTTGGTAGGACAGGCCCTTAATATTATATTTATACGAATAATACTTAAGTATTTATATCATAAATATTTATTTACAGATACGGTGCTTATCTATGATCATGTTGCATGGAACTAACATGAAGGAATGGATACTTCTAGATGTATGCAGGACGGTATCTGTTCACTGGCATGCTATCGACTTAAAGTAACTGTAAAAGCTTTTGTACTGCTTTAAATAACTTAAATGACACCAAATTAAATTAAATATCGCTATACTTTATATTTGTCAATATTCCCGTGCGGTTTTATCCGCAAGAAATTGTGAAAATTTTATTTTATTGTTTACTATTGTCAAATTATCAATAGCAAATATGAAAATGACATGATATGACAAACCTTGAAAATCTTGCTTCCTTGATGTTGGCAGCAACTTATGGTCTCTTTCCCACATTAGGGTTTTTATCCAAAATATTTACCCCCTAAGTTTCATGGCGTTAAAATATATAGCCTAAAGCGTGACGGTAGTGTAGGGCTTTTTATTAAAAAAAATAATTATTCAAAAATATGCTGTAATTGCTGACATCTTAGGCAACAAAGAAGTGTTTACGCTACATTATAATAGTATAGAAGTATAGATTAACATCAAATAAAGGCGAAAATAAAACTATCGAACGAAAGCAAATGATTTAGTACATTATTGAAATGCAAATAAAAAATATTTTTATATTTACTTTTTATATTGTCAATGGATAATTAATTATGTATTTTGTATGTAACTTTAATTTTTACAATTGATGGTATAAAAAAAAACTTGTTCAACTAACAATTTTATATATTTTTTTTTACTTCAGAATATTGTCATAAATGTATAAAGGCACTATTACAAATCAGTGTTTTTATTTGCAAAATTTAAAAAATATTTAACATTTTGGCACCTTGAAACACCGAGTAAAAGTGTAGACTTAAGTAAATGTTAATTCTAATAAAAAAAAATAGTGTCTTATAGAATTTTTGGACTTCCAATATTCTTTATCTCGCTATATTATAAATATCTATACACGATTTAATTCGTACTTGTAAGCGATTGACAAACATGAGATAATTATCGATGTTTTTTTTTTTTTGTAATTTTTTCCAATACTTCACTAATCTTGCGCTAGTATTATTAATTACTTCTTAGTAAACAATAGAGATCTACAAAAAAAAACTGTGGCTTTGCTTTTTTTATATACGTAATTTGCGTCTTTGCTGTCATATGTTTAAGATGTTGTTAAGCTCTCTAACAAATTTTCTATTAAAAAAAATTAAATCCAATGTGATGTTAAAAAATGGTGCTTTTGATGATTAAAAATAACGTCTCATATTGTTGTGTTTTAAGGCAATTCGCTTACAGTTCAAAGGCAATACATAAATATACTTTAAGTAAAGGCAATTTGAAACTCAAACAATATTTGATGAGAGGTAAAATCTCAGTCATTACAATGTTAAGTACGTAGTTACCTAAATAAAAGTTAATGGAAATATTGGTTCAGTTCATTACAGTTTCTTGTCTATGGCACTCTCTTAGCGGATTGAGTCAGTCTCGAGTTATAAACATTGGTCAATTTGTAGACGATATTTAAATAAAAAAATGAAATTGAACACCAAATAAAATATTACTCAGTGAAATTAATAAACTAAGTATATTTAAATGTGATATTGCTTATATGAGCTTTAGTAATTTTATATGTTTTATAATAAACTTTGTGTTCTAAAATATATTTAATTAAAAAAAAATGATTACGTTCTAGTTCAAGACGATTAAATGTGTCAAACGAATATTCGAATATTAAAAGTTTATTTTCTCAATACAAGCAAATACTATAAAAATGTACAAAACAAATTCTTATTTCTATAGTTTGTGTAAACAGAATCTCTGAATATATAATTCGTAATCGAATCCATGTTAAGTAAAACCAGGATATTTAGTATCTATTTCCACTTAGCAGCTAGCCGTACAGCTCAAGGCTGGTGCGGTTAACCGCCAAGTGGAAATTGAGTCTTAGAAGAAATAAAGCCCTTACCAGTTCAAGAAGAATCGTCCAAAGATTATTTTAGGTATAGTCTGAAAATGTAATTAATTTCCTTATCGCACGCGTATTAAGTTGACAATGTGTATTAAATAAATGTATTTATTTGCATACTATTGTTTTATTTCACTGTTCTTTAAAAAAAAAATAAAAAGTTCAAAGAAAACCAGTTAAAAGTCCTGGTTCCCAATCTATCGATGTCAGGATTTAAATAAAAGGAAACGCAAATGAATAAATA